CCCCCAGGGGTCACGACCCACAGGTTGAGAACCGCTGCTCTAGGACCATGGTTCTATCCTGAGGCAGGTGGGGTTTCCGGTAGGGCTCGATTTCATGAGGTCATAGCAGAGTGGGGGGACTCCCTTCTGGGTGATGTCCCATGAAAGGGCAGGACAGACATGGAGAGACAAGAGCCCTATGCATGTGAAGGGCGAGCGAGAGGCAGGTCCCCAGTGGAAGACACCGAAATCCAAACTGAACCAAACTCACCGCCATCGAGGTCATGCTGACTCACAGCGACCCTTATGGGACAGGGCAGAGCTGCCCCGGTGGGTTTCTGAAACTGTCTATGTTTGCCAGGAGTAGTAGGCCTCCTCTTTCTCCCCCAGAGCGGCTGGTGGTTTCGAACTGCTGATCGGTTGGATCGCAGCCCAATGCACCACCCCTGTGCCACCCAGGGCTCCTGAAGACAAGACACCGGGGTGGGGAGGGTGGGGAACACTTCCCAAATCCCATTCTTTTTCCATTTCGTTCCTCCCACCAACTTTCTGAGAGCTCCCTCGGAACAGAGACAAGCCAGGGGCTACCGGAAGCTGGGAGCTTCCCTTGAAGGATGATGCCGGCGCCGCCGCCAACACCATGAATTCAGCTGCCAGCCGCCAGGACTGTGAGAGAGGAGACACTTCCGTTCCTCAACAAACCCCCACTTTGATGTCTTTGGCAATGGCGGTCCTCACCGAGGAAGAGAAGCATCCAAGCCCCTTACCTGCCTGAGGGCCTGAGGGCCAGAGGCCCCCGTGAAGTATGATGGTGGGTGTCACGACCTCCACCCAAAAAGGTGTGTTCATAGCGATCAGGTTCAACACCAGGCCCAGCGCGTTGGTGAACAGGGCCAGAGAGCGGTTCATGGTGGCAGGTCACCGGTTGCAGGTCCCAAGGGCTGAAGAGGCTCGTCACCCAATCTCCTGGGGTCTCCGGAAATGGCTGAGGCAGCGGCAGCTGTGCACCTTGGATGCCTGGGGCCTCTCAGCTCGGGGAGGGGGGGAAGTGGGGAGAACAGAAGAAGAAGATGCTAGCCGACAAGCAGGGGCAACTGGGCGTCTTGACTGTTCAAGGAGGAGGGTGGCTTGCTTTCACACAGTTCCGGGCAGTGGACCTCTTTTTCACCACCCCCCTCCCTCCCTGCACCTGCGCACACACGAGAACCGCCCCCCCCAGGTTCTGGCTCCCCTCACAGGGTGTGATGGGTGAGGGTGGAGGGTGTTGGAGGTTTGGGTGGCTGGCGGTTCAGAATTTGCCCCTCTGCTCGCTAGCCCTGTGCCTGCCCCTTAGAGCCCTCACTAGCTATATCAGGGAGGGTTTTTCCTGGAAACGATGAGAGAGGTTGGTTTGAATGCTCCATCGGAGGTGACAAATTTAGCCACAATGTGAGGGAGGTGGGAGGTGGGGTGGGGGTAGCGTAGAGAGTGGGGGGAAGTGGCCAGTGCGCACAGTTGGGGCTGAATCATGCTTTCATGTGTGTGCTGCAATTTCCCGCTGTGGGAAGGGGGCACAACTCTAAGGAAATGGTGTGGGGGTGGGGCTAGGACTCCTGGGTCTGAGGGAGGTGGGGCTCGGGCTTTTGGGGGGAGCCTTGAGTCCCTGGTTTGGCCATCAGCCCAAGACAAACAGGCAAGTAAGAGAGAGAAAGGGAGAAACCACCACATCTTGTCCTGGAAGTGGACTGAGAGGCGGCTCTGCTGGTGGTGTGGCCTCCACATCACCAGGATCTGGGTCCTCAGGGAGAGAAGGGGCCACAGCATTCCACTCCAGGACCCTCCTTCTCCCCTGGCCCACCCCTCACCTGTGAAGTGCCACGGGCCGGGTGGAGAAGGTCCAGCCACCTGTGTTTCCTCTATGCAGTGGCGGGGTTGGGGTTACCCTGGGGAAGGACTTCTACCCTGATGAGCTAGGCTGCCGAGTACAGCTGGCCACGGGGAGACCCAGGAAGGAGCCAAGAGTCCTGGGTCCCTTCTTTATGGGAGACTGCTTTGAAGGCTCCCTTCGTTCTTCATCGGGCCCTTCAGCAGGGAAGCAACATTCGGGGACAGCCTCCCAGAAATGGACGGAGGGCATAAGCCATCAGGCCCACGATGGCCAGCCCCCCTCCACCCCACCCCTGTGAAGGACAAGCTTTGGGAAGTCTGAGCTATGGGTGTGGGGTGAGGGGAGATTCTGAGCACAGACACCCCACCTCCATTCCAGCTCCCCGTCACACACTACCCCATTCCCATCCCCTATTCTCATCCTCACTTCTCAACCATGTTTTCAACCCCAACGCCAGCCCCAGGCCCAGTCCCAACCCCAAGTCCTCCTTCACCCCACTTCCCACAACACCTACCTCAGCACAGCCACGCCCACCTGGTTCCGCCTCCCTTCCAGGTCCAGGTCTGACCTTGTTTCCATCTCCCCAAGTCCCCCCACCGCCCACGTGCCCATGCGTTACCTGTAGCCGCCTCCAGTCGGGTCTCTGTACACGTTGGCATCGCACGCTGGCCACGGGCCCCTGGTGTCCTCTGGCACGTATGCCTCCAGCGAGCGTGGATGGGTAGCGAAGGACACGAAGATCCCAAAGCAGAAGCCACTAAACCTGGCCTTGAGGCCACCCTGCTATCTCCACCCACTTTCTAGATGAGACTGGACGAGGGGGTGCCGCAGCGTACCTCTGGGCTCCCGTTCCAAAGCTCCGCTTGATCTCCAGGACCGTCCCTAGAGCCGCTGGTGGACCTAGCTCGCCAACGCTCTTGCCCAAGAACTCTCGGGTTTTCTGAATCAATCTAAAAAATCGCTTCCAGTTTGCTGCAGCCTCTTCCAGGCCTTGGGAATGTCTCGGTGGCATCCCTCTAGCCACAAGGCACCCTGGACATCACCACCCGGGGGGGGGGGGGACTGGACATCGTCACTCCGGGGTCACTCCTGCCCTGTGTCCATTTCACGGTCATGGGCCGCACACCAGAGCATGGCAGCTTTTATGAGCTCGATGAGTCTTTCGGTCAAGTCTTTTGACCGGAGGGTGGCCTTTTTGTGGGGGAAGGGGGGAGGACATCTCTGAACTACAGTGAGGGAGGAAGGACAGAGCCGGGGAAGAAATGGAAACCCGGACAGGTAGCATCTTAAGAGCCCTTGATCCGTCATAGCTTTTCCTCTGAGACTGAGGTCACTGGGAGGCTTCGCTACAGGAGGGGCATGTCCTGTGTCATGTTTTTAAGTCCTCATCTGCACGCCGCCCAGAGGATAGACGGCAGGGAGGGGCGTGTCATGAGTCACCTGGTTGGCGCCCCGGTGGCAGAAAGCCAAGGGGTTGGCATGAAAGGAGGCGGTTGTGAGGGGCCACTGACTCAGTTCTGACTCAGAGTGGCCTCCGATGCAAGGGAACACTGTGGTGACGAGCAGAGCCGGGAGGAGAGTGCATGCGGACAGATTCTCCACGCGTATTGAAGGCGTCCAAAGGGGTTGGTAAGAACCCGGTTCTTGGCTTCGCACCATGAAAGAATCCCGCCGAAGCCCGGTTTTGTAATTCAGGTGGGGTTTTTCGTTTTTTTAGGAAGGATGGGACAAGCATAAAGTTTTACAGTCCCAAAAAGGCCCACAACTGGACATGCGCAACCACGTGGAAGAGAGCACCCATGTGTGTGGAACTCGGGTGGGGGGCATCCCGGGAGGCCAGGAGCCCAAGAACCCTAGAGGCTGAGAGCACGTGGTCCAAGAAGTTATGGGCCTGAGTAGGCCCTGAGCGGGCGCATGTGTGCCCATGCAAGGGAGGGAGACCCTCCCCCTCTACCTGCCGCTGACCAGGAGCAGGGTAAGAGAGCGTCCGAGAGTGCTCCCTGCTTTTATTCTCGCACCCTGGCTGGGGGAAGACGTGGGTGATGGAATTGGTTGATCCCATTGGCTGAGTTAGGCTCACCTGGGTGATGTCATGAGCCTGGGCCTCGTTTGGCTCATGTACCTCCCACCTGGTTTCGGGGGCCTTGAATACGAGCATGCTCAGTTTAGGGTCTTCATAGGTGTCTAAATAATTGCCTGATTTCTTTCCAACCTCCTCTCTGGGGGCCTTTGCAGGCATGGGAGGGACAACCCCCTGTCCCTAAGCTGGCTATCTAACAGCCTTCGTCTAACAGGGTCTGCCTCCCAGACTCCTTAAATAGGAGGGTCGAGAATTTGTCTGCACACATTCTTTTCCCCGGGTACCTCCACACGTCACCCTCACCCTCAGGCTGTCTGCGCCCATTGTGGCAGCCCCTGTGCCAATCCATCTTGTTGAGGGTCTTCCTGTTGTTTGCTGCCCCTCTGCTTCCCCAAGCATGATGCTCTCCAGGGTCTTGGGTCCTCCTGCGAACATGTCCACAGCACATGGGGTAGAATCTCACCATCCTCACATCCAAGTTAAGAATGTATTTGCTCCAAGTTCAGGATTCGGCTGGCATGGCTCTAGGAGTGCTCTTTTTTGGGTCGATTTCGGCTTCTGTTGTTGTGAGGTGCCAACCAGTTGGTTGTGACTCGGAGACCCATGTGGACGACACAAGGAAGCCCTGCCAGGTCCTGTGCCCACCTCTCGATTGCTCATTAAGTTTGAGGCCATTGTTGTAGGCACTGTATAAATTCATGCCCTGGAGGGCCTACTACAGAGGTGGGGAACTGTCGGAGGAAACCAGCCTCCAACAACCTAAGGGCCAAAGGTGCAAATGTACGGTGATGATATATAAAGATGAGAGTCAAGTCATAGAGGATAATAAAAATTGGAGAGAGGGTAAAATTAGAGGAGCCAGACACATTTTATGGTCACGTGCTCACCTCAGCTCCTTGATGGACCACGTGGAACTGGGAGAAGTGAGAGAGAGCCTTTAGTATCTTGAGACATTTATTGGTAGCCTTAAGACATGCATATTCAGTAGTTACATGTGTCACAAGTGGGTATAATCTACAGTAAGGTCCCTGGGCTCACAGGTGAGGAAACCTAATACCTGCATTGGGGGAAGGTACGAGGGGGCTTGGGTGTCACAGAGGGAAGAGAGAACAAAAAGATAGTGTCTGCTTCTACAGGGAGATCGAATCCACCATGTGCTCACTTTAAGGCAGCATAGCTGTTAGGGGAGAAACTGTGGGAATGATATTTAAAGCAGGATCATGTACTTGGACTTGACCTCTAACTTACCAACGTGGAGGCTTACCTACCATGGAATACCAGCTTTCCAGATTCCCTCTGTGATAAGTTAGGGAATATAGCCCTCGTCATATTTCCCTCCATGTTCGTTTCCCACAGGGAACTCCCAGCCCTTGGGCTGACTAAGGCCCATGAAATCATCCATCCCAGGTAACAGCACCTGCCTCTCCAACAAGAAGCCGTTCTGGCCATCACAGGAGAGGTGAGTTGATTAATTGTTTGACCAGTAGGGCCCATGAAGGATGTTATCAATCTCCAAATGGCCCTTGGCCAAAAAGAAAAAGGCTCCCCATCTAGTAACTAGCAATCCGCCTTAGGTCAGGTTCTCTAGAGATGCGAAAATCATTGATATATGTAGAAAGAGAGGGTGAAGGAGAGAGTGCCATCGATGTCCAAAGAACTCTTCACACGGTTGCAGAAACAGGCAGATCCAAGTCCGGGCAAGTGTGGTAAACCGAGGGACTGGATGAGACTGCCATGCAGCTAAATCATCCATGCTCGTAATTACCGGTCTGGAAAGCCAACTCAAGTGGGGGAAGACCCTCATGGTTATGAGATATGAATAAATCTTAGTACACATTCTCATGACTGAACACAGTCCCTCCAATGACACCCGCCCCCCACCTCCATAAAGAAGCTGTCCTAGAGGGGCTAACAAAAGAGGTCTTATACTTGCATCTGCCTAGTCCTTGTGCCTGGAGGTTATCTCTAGATAAGAGCAATCAGGTTCTACAGCCCAACCCACCTAAAATGTAGAAAACTCTTGTTTTGACATCTCTTGCTGATATTGATCA